ATTTTTGGGGGGTCAGTAGGTCCTTTTTTACCCAATTTTTCCCACTCTTTATTTTGGGCCGAAAATCTTTCCCTACCTAAGGAAAATTAACTTTTATTTTTAAATCCTAATTAATCCTTGCCCCTGCCAATTTCGGGCCCCCTTTTTCCAGCCCTCCAACCATTAAAATCGGCCTCTCCCCCGACAACCGCGCATGCGAAAAGGGAACCTTGGTTTATCTTATTTCAAATACATTTTTGACCATATGACACATTAAACACAAATTAGGCACATAGTTCGGAAAAATTAAAAATTTTTCCACATTGCGCCGGGCGGAGTCGTGGTAGACGATTACTAATGTGGATAAATTTTCCATCCCCTGGCCACCCATTTTGGGGAACCCAAATGGTTTACTTAATACTGGTGTTTCACTTACTCTCAGGGCATAAAGCACTCTATTGCTCCTGATTACAGTTCCCCTATAATTGGGCCATATCTACCTGGAATTTTTGGGCAAGACTTTACATCTACAACATGTCTCTCTAGTATCCCAATCTGCCCCAGCACATTACTGCATATCAGGCACAAGCTCATGGCCATCTATATTTATTGATCCCTCAAAAATGGACTAATTAGGTTTTTCCATTCTCTCAGGGGGATAAGCTATAGACTCCCTGGATTAATTTATCTGGGCATACTGGAATTATGAGACTTTAACAATAACAAGTACTCCTCAGTATCCCAAGTCAGCCCCAGCACATTACTCATACAGGCACCAACTCATGGCCTCTTTATTTTGATCCCTCAAAATGGACTAATTAGTTTCCATTATCTCAGGGGCATAAGCCTATGCTCCCTGGATTAATTTATTGGGCATATGCAATATGGAGGACTTTAACAATAACAAGTTTTCTCAGTATCCCAAGTCAGTCCCAGCACATTTCTGCATTATTTCATTAACCCCTTCACATATCCTCATTAGTTCCTCTTCAGTTGACGTCACACCCGGAAATTGTCACATAAGATTAATTACCCAATTACTTCGCTCAGTGGACCGACCTGTGCACTTAAGGTGTGCATTTATCGTCGCCTGAAGTAAGAACAATTTATTATTTAACTGTTATTAATTATATCATTATAAGCAGTCAACAATTTTGGTTGTCTTGCTCAGTTCGCAGAGCTGGGCCCTTTAACTGTCCATACGCCATCCTATAATTAGTAGGTAATTCTGGACGGTCAGCTTCCACGGAAGTCGCACCCAGTAATGTCCAGATTCACATTTAACATCCTTCAGGTATGTTCCTGAGTAAAGTGAATCATTTGGACTTTCCTCATTTACATTAATCCCTATGCTGTCCAGCTCCCACAAATTAGACTGGTTCAACATCATTCTCGATAGAAGAATACTTGTACTGGGTTGACCTTTTATGAGTAAGACACCGTGACGTATTCACTACTTCTAGTCATATTACTAGGCGGTAGTCTGCCATATATTACATGGCCCGTACCAGTGTTGAGGAGAGTGACGCCGCATGCTTTTGGATTTATGCCCTTTATCCTGAATTATTACATCCAACACCGGCAAGGCTACCTCAGCTAGGCCATCATTATTGCCATTAGCTGCAACCTTTACATCAGTCACTGTAGTGTCAGGGTTATTAACATTATCATTTATTGTCACCATTATTATAAGAATCACATACAACCCTGCACATACTGTATGGTGCTTTCCCTTGTTGCATTGATAGCAACTGTTCAATTTGGTATGACAATCCTTTACATTATGATTGTCTAGACATCTGATAAATCTGTCAAGTTCTTTCATTCTTTCCACTTTAATATCCATGAATTACTAGGCATTACAATTTTTAGTGAAATGAGTACCCTGGCAGAAGAGGCAGTCTCTCTTTTCCTTGCCTGACCTCTTATTAACTGGGTTACACTTACTGAGGTACTTTATTTCCTCTACCTTGATGTGAGGAACCACTATTACTGATTCCTGACTTGATATGTGCCTATTTAACTCTTAACTATGATTATTACCACTGGGATTATTTTCCCTTTTGAGACTTGACAGATACTTCAGGTCATTATGTGTTATATCCTTAGAACTGTTTGGCTGCTGGTCTGCAATTGAACAATTAATTCCTGCCGACCTAGTCTGATTTCCTCCAGACCGTACTATGGAGGTTTTGCAAACCCACCCTTTGCATTAATAGGTTGATCAACTGCCTGGCTTACACCCTTTAATTTATTCAAAGCCTTACTTTTACAAGACAGTTTTTCTTCCAATTCGTAATGTTGATTTAATTAAAACATTCATTTCCATTCCATCTGCACAATTCTCCAGCAGATCTCTTTCACAGTCTTTAAACCACAATTTGTACCAATCAAATCTACTCTCTAAAGCATCTAAATATAACTTTAATTCATTAGGGTTCACGTTCTTGTGATTCACTAAATCAAATGCCTTCGTCACATGGCTTTTAATAGCCTGTAATGATGCTTTCATTACTCTAAAATTCACGGACTTGTCAGCCACATTAACTCCATTAGATCCAGTCATGGTTAGAGAATTATTAATCACTGATTATACACTTAAGTAGGCGCCTTATAAGAGTAATTCTTGCACTTTACTCTTGTATAAATCCTAGCCACACATGTGCTAGCAATTAATTGGGCTAATTGTCATCCATCACTCGATCGATTCAACATGTGCACCCTACACCCACTTCCTTCAATCAGTCACTTAATTATTAAGTAAATTAATTCAATAAAATTTTTTTCACTGGATTCAATCCGTTTCGAAGACCAACCGGGCAGATAGGATAATTTTCTAGGGTGCTTACCTTATTACCTCAACATTATATACATACCAGTAATCTCATTAGGGAGACAATCATATTGTTTTACCGTAGCCACCCCGTGTAGACATGTGGTGAAAACTTAAACCACCCAGGTCCGCACCAAGTGGGTCCCCTCGACCTCACTATCTTAAACCATAATCTATCCGAGACCATTATGGGTTGGGTAGCACCCACAAGATACGGTGTCTACTAATTAGATTGTGGACTGTATAGATATAATAGTTTAGCTGAATGAAGGGAGGGGGGTAGGAACACCGGATAACATCCGTCAGGAAAACGATTTGTACATAATTCCCAATACTACCAGATGTTCTCTGGTGTCACTTGAATGTAGCTGGATCCAACTCGTAACCTATCTAATTATAACATACCACTACTGCCATCCTAGGTTGCTAGAACAAAAGGGTTACTTAACTGTGGGTGATTGATATTCCTCATTTCTGAATCAACCATCTCTTTCCGATGTCCCTGCACACCGACACGATTCCTCATTCCAGCAGGACGAGTATCCGCTGGTTTTGTCCTGCTTTAGACATCGTGACTCAAGGAGTTTTCCCTTTCCTCGCCGTTAACAACGAGTCTAGCGTTTCACTCGAGCAAACGACTTATTTCACTTCACATATTCTCTTAACTAAGCGTTATTATCATTAATTACATTACAATTCACAAGAGCGATTTAACGTCTCATAACTATTATACAAACTAGAGCATCCATTAAATCAGAGACCGATGCCGTGATGATTAAATCCAAGGGTAATTTTCCCCAGGACACAGTCCATTGTGGCGCGTCAGTCACCCGGTCCTTCTCTTATCACACTTTTACCACTCTATACTGTGGTCCCGTAAAATCCGTTCCCTCACTCCTCCACCAGAACAATTACGACACTTCGTTATTATGAAAATGAGGCTGTATGATCCTTAGGCCACCGTGTTGCACGACAATTTCGTGGTTCCATGTTTTCTCAGCTTCCTCACCACCAACAAAACAATACGCCCCCCCTCCCTCCCGCACATCCGCGCATGCGCAAAGGGAACTCTTGGTTCTACTCTTATTTTCAAATACATTTTTGACCCATATAGACACATTAAACACCTATTAGGCACTATAGTTTCGGAAAATTAAAAAATTTTCCACATCTCTTATCACCCTGGCTTGGGTCACACTTATTCTGGTTTGGTATTGGGATGTGGCAATACCACCTACACCCACTCTAGGCCTAATGGCGCTAAAGCTAACCTATGACACTGAGCTTGACTCTATCATCATTACTGATTCTATGTCATCATTGAAGGCTCTTGGCTCATATAATGACTCAAACAACATGCTCATTGGGGAAGCCAGGTATAGATACTCAAAAATTAGGGACAAAGGAATTAATGTACAATTGCTATGGATCCCATCACACATTGTATTACACCTTCATGATAAAGTTGATATGT